TGTACATACATAAATATTTCATTAAATCTGGGGATTTCAGATATCCCCTGAAACCTAAATAAGAAGCCCTGTTCATAATATTTAAATGGTTATTATTTTTCTAATTCCAAGGCATTTCAATTATCATGGGGCACTTCTGGCAACTAAATGTGTCAAGACAAGAGAATTATGTGATTATGGGAATTTTAGGATTCTTGAGAGGCCAGGAAAGATAAAGAAATCATTATCTTCTCCCACTAAATTATCTAACACAGGTGACCTAAATGAAGATATGTACTGTACCCAGGTCTTGTTCACTGTTATGAGCATTTCCACAAAATCATATGTTGGATCCTTGTGTGGCTATTTTTGGACATAGGACTTTTAAGGAAGTAATTAAAGGTATATGAGGTTATAAGAATGTGGACCTGATCAGATAGGATCAGTGTCCTTCTAAGAGGAGACACCGGGCTCAGGCTTTCCCTCTTCCCACCCCCTCCCCAAACACACAGAAAGAGGCCCTGTAAGCACACAGCAAGAAGGCTGACACTGCAAGCCAAAAGAATAGATCTCAGAATGAAACCTTCCTTGCTAGTGACACTTTAATCCCAGACTTTCCAGCCTCCAGAACTGTGAGAAATAAGTGTCTGTTGTTTAAGTCACTCATTTTGTGGTAGACTGGAAGACTAATATATTCAACCAAAATTCTTTCATCTAAGTTCTTTGTAGCACTTTCAGGCATCTGTCGCCTCCAAAACTCCCTTGTATCATTTTTTACTTAAACAAAGATAGGAATATTATTTCCTCCATCTCAAAAAAAAATATTTACAACAATGAATTTTATACTTGTATAAAAGTCTATCTTAAACGATTCAAGGCCTTTTTAATTGGAACATGTATGGATATTGGTAGAGCTTGGAAATGATGCAGCTACCCTTGAGCCTCAGGCAAGGAAGTTTCTCTGTGGCAGAGGAGCAAACAGCCCCAAATAAATAGCAATCACCTGGCTAGCTACTCCCACTACCGTTTTATAGCTTAAAGCCTGCTACTCAATGTGTGGTTGATCAACCACGAGTATCAGCATCACCTAAAAGTTATAAGCAATGCAGAATCCCAGGCCTACTTAATCAGAGTTTGCATTTTAACAAGATACCCAGGTGATTCATGAGAACATTAAAATTTAAGAACCATTATCTTATCAAAATTACAGCTAAACTACAGAACGACTATCATTCAAAACCTCCTAAAATCTAGCTGAATAGAAGTCCTACAACTATGCATTTAAAGAAGCCAAATTGAAATGGGTAGAAGGGGTGGAGAAACAGAAAGGGCTGATCTTACACCCATGTGTGGCAAATAAAAATCAGGAGAGATATCTTGGCTTGCAGAGGTCCCCTTGAGGATCAAGGGGTCCCAGCCCCACACCAGGCCCCCAAGCTCAGGTTTACAGTGCTGAGAAGAGAAATGCCTATAACTTCTGGCTGTACAAACCAGCAGGAATTGAGGCTGAGTAATATAGAGGGCTATTGGACTCTCGGTCAGTTACTCTATAAGGGCCAGCATTCAAACTTACTTGGACTCACTCTTTCGGAGATACAGTGCTGGGATAGCAGCTCAACAGGTACAAGGGACAAATGGAGATTAACTGAAGCCCCTGGCATCAGGGAAAGAGTTGGGGGGAAGCTTTCTTCCAGGTAGAAGTGTTGGCAGAGACCATTGTTTCTTTGATGAGCCCTCTCCCAACAGAGTTGGCAGGCGGGCACCATATGTAAGTCTGCATCAACCCGGTAATTCCCTGAAACCATGCCCTCCCAAACTTACAGGGCACACACAAGCTGTTTACAGTTGCTTTTCTATATGAATGGCCTGTATTAGCTCATGCCTCAGACCTTCCTGAAATCTCTCAAACAAGGAATATCTGGCCTCTGTATGCCCTGTACCTATTACTAAGTGGCCCCAGGCCCAAAACAAGCTTCAGCCTATGGTGGTTCACTGCTTGGCCTCACCTGGGCACCTCCAAGCTGGGCACATGTAGCAGCCAACTGTAGATTGCTTTGTAGCTCAAGCCAGGTAGCCTAGGAAGAACACAGGTGGTGGCTGACCTTGGCCTGCATCTCCCAGGAGGCCCCAGAACCAGCACACCCAGTAGACAGCCTAAGACCATGTTGAAACGTGATCCTCCACAGTGACACTCTCAAGGGGCAGATTCAGCAGCACCAGAGCCCCACTGAAGTAAATCCTGCTCTGTGGGATGGACCCCTGAAAAGATGATCCTCCACAGTGGTCCCTGGTCAGAGCAAGTCCTTTCAGTGGATAAACCTGGAGGTAAATTCCTCTCATTGATGTGCAAACAGCAATCAAGACTCAACTACAACAGGAGACTGTACACAGCTCACACAGGGGTGGGAATGGACTGCCCAAATTTGGTGATCAGGGAGATTGTGCCACTGGACCCTACAGGACACCTACTACATTAGGCAACCCTACCAAGCCTAGGAGATGTTGCAGCTCTACCTAATAAATAGAAACAAACACATGGAAGCTTCCAAAATGAGGAGACAAAGAATCATGTCCCAAGTTAAAAAAAAAAAAAACTCCACAAAAAGAACTAAACAAAATGGAGACAACAAATCTCTAGAAGCAAAGCTCAAAACACTGGTTATGAGGATGTTCAATGAACTTAGGAAACAGTAGATGAACTTAGAAATTCAACAGCATCAAAAATGACATGGAATCCATTAAAATGAATCAGTCATAAATGAAGGACACACTAACTGAAATAAATAATTTACAGGGAATCAACAATAGAGTAGATGAAGTCAAGAATCAAATCAGTGATTTGGAATATAAGAAAGCAAACATTAACCAACCTGAACAACAAAAAGAAAAGAAGAATCCAAAAAATGAGGATATTGTAAGAAGCCTCTGAGACAACTTCAAGTATACCAACATTTGCATCATCGGGGTGCTAAAAGCAGAAGAAAGGGAGAGCAAGAAATTGAAAACTAATTTGAAAAACATAATGAGAGAAAACTTCCTCATTAAGGAAATAGACATACAAGTCCAGGAAGTATGGGGAGTCCCAAACAAGATGAACACAAAGAGGCCCACACCAAGACACATCATAATTAAAATGCAAAGGTTAAAGACAAAGAATCATAAAAGCAGCAAGAGAAAAGCAGTTAGTTACCTACAGGGAGCTCCCATAAGACTGTCAGCTGATTTCTCAACAGAAACTTTTCAGGCCAGAAGGGATTGGCAAAAAATATTCAAAGTGATAAAAAGGAAGGATCTACAATTAAGATTACTCTACCCAGCAAAGCTATTAATTAGGATCAAAGGACATATAAAGAGTTTTCCATTTAAGGAAATGCTAAAGGAGTTCATCACCACCAAACTAGTATTACATGAAATGTTAAAGGGTCTTCTTTAAGAAGATAAAAAAAGAGAAGATCAAAATTATGAACAATAAAACGGCAGTAAATACATATCTATCAAAACTGAATCTAAAAAAAAAATGAGTAAAAGTCTCTCTTACTCATTTTTTTTTTAGATTCAGTTTTGATAGATATGTATTTACTGCCGTTTTATTGTTCATAATTTTGATCTTCTCTTTTTTTATCTTCTTAAAGAAGACCCTTTAACATTTCATGTAATACTAGTTTGGTGGTGGGGAGGTAGGGGAGGGATGAACCACAGAACTTATATGCATGTATGCATGAACAGTGGACATGGACAACAATCTGGGGAAGGGGCAGGGAGGGAAGGGGGAGGGGGGAATCAGTGGGGGAAAAAACGAGAATCATCTGTAACAAAAATTAATCAATAAAAAAAAGTTACTTAATAAAAATAATAATCAGAAAAAAAATTTTTAATGAATAAGCAGAACACGAACGGACTCATAGATACAGAGAACATTTTGATGGTTGCCAGTTGGGAAGGGTCTTGGGAAGATAAATGAAAAAGGTGAAGGGATTAAGAAGTACAAGTTGGTTGCTAAAGAATAGTCATGGGGATGTAAAGTACAACATGGAGAATATAATCAATAATATTCTAATAGGTATGTATGGTATCAGATGGGTACTGGATTTATCAGAATGATCACTTAGTTGTATACCTGAAATTAATATTGTATGCCAACTGTAATTAAAAAATAAAAAATGATTTAAATTTAAATATATATATATGTAAATTTTTTTAAATTAGAAGCACTGTTGTAAGTAACTGGTTAGTCCACATTGTAACAGCACTGAGTAGACTCCCAGACCTAAGGGACTATTGGGAAAATGGGTTTAAGCATTAAGGTACTTTCACCAGGGTAGTCTTGGAATGTAACAGAGTGTCTGGAACCTAGTAAACTGCAATAAATATGTTGTTCATTGATTTATTTAAATATATGTTGAGCATCAACTATATGTGGATCACTACACAAGGAATTGTGGATACATCATTGAGAAAGTCCTCGTGGGACTTAGTCTAATGCAGTGTTTATCAAAGAGGTGTCACTCTACAACCTGTATCAGAATTGCAGAAGGTGGATGTATGGGTTTTTTTTTTAAAGCAAATATCTGAGACCCACCCGAGAGCATCTGAATCAGAATGTGAATAAATATGGCCCCAGGAGTCAGCATTTTAACAAGTACCTCAAATTATTTGTATGCATACTGAAGTCTGAGAACCACTAACTTAGTGGACTGTGGAAGATTAATGGATAAAATCATTATTCAACAATTTATTGAGTTCTGTGTTCTTTCTAGGCACTATTTTAGGCATTAAGGATACAGTAGTGAATGAAATTCCCTGCTTTCATGTAGTATACATTCTCAATGGAGGGGGCAAATAATAAATGAACATGTCGAGCTGAGGGGAGGGAGAGGCTGGTCCAAGTCTGGCTACTGTCACTGCTTGCCCAAGGTCTCCAGGCCAGACTGTGGCTCAGTCCTCGGCTCTGGAGCAGGAGCATCATCTGTGAGGCTGTGCCAGGCCAGCGTGGGAAAGCCGCAGGCGGCGGCTGCCACATCATGTCAGCCAAGGAAGAGCGTGCCAAGGAGATCCTGAGGGGCATCAAACTAAATTGGATGAACCTTCGGGATGCTGAGACAGGGCAGATACCCTGGCAAGGAACAGAATTCCTGTCAGTCCCTAGATTGGAGCACGAAGCCCGTGTTTCCAAGAAAATTCTGAATGCAAGGCAGTGTCTCGATAATTGAACTTCTCCTCAGCAGAGCAAATGGAAAAATTCCACCTGGAACAAAAAGTTTACTTCAAAGGGCAATTCCTAGAAGAATGGTTCTTCGAGTTTGGCTTTGTGATTCCTAACTCCACAAATACCTGGCAATCCTTGATAGAGGCAGTGCATGAGACCCAGATGATGCCCGCCAGCATGCTAACTGGGAATGTTATCATAGAGACAAAGTTTTTTGACAACAATCTTCTCGTAAGCACATCCAGAGTAAGACTTTTCTACGTTTAAGAGAAGAATGTATGTGCATTTCAAGAATTTGGGTTTTGGGGGGAAGGAGGAAACTTAACTTTTTTCCTCCACACATTTGATTTTTGACACTTCCACCCCTAATTCTCTCTATGACAAAACCCACCTGCAGCCACGAGGGGACCAGCTCTGTGTAGGTAAACAGATGGCTTTTTTCCCCTCAAAGAGCCATCTTCCACTGACCAGACTAACTCCCCAACTCACACCAGGACAGAGGGCATGCCTCGACTCTTTCCCAGGGTAAACCAGGACAAATACACAGCAGAAACTGCTACAGGAGCTTATTCTGTTCCTGTCTCCCTCCCTGCCTCCTCCTTGGTGCCTCCAGGGGACACATCTTCCTTTGGCCCCTGACTTTGGAAAAATTTATGTTCTTGACCTATGTTTAGTCTTTTCCTACCGTTTCTATTGCAAACATTCTCATATATTTAACTTATAAAATAGACTGTGATATTATTATGTAATGAATTGAAAAATATGAATTAAAATATTCCCATAGTCAAAAAATAAATAAATAAATGAACATGTCAACTGGTGATGAGTTCTATGAAAAAAATTAAAGCCAGGGCTAGTTAGTGGGGGAGGTGCTATTTTATATAGGGTGATCTAGATAGGCCTCTCTATAAAGGTGATACTTGAACCAAGATCTTAATGAAGTGAGGGAATAAGCCATGCAGACATTTGGGAAAGAGTTTTCCAAGCATAAGGAACACTATGGGCAAAGACTCTGTGGAGGGTGTTTGCCTTACATGTTCAAAAATAGAAAATAGGCCAGTGAGCGAGTCAGTAGGAAAATGATTGGAGGAGAGTCAGAGAGGTAATATAGGTATCGGAGCATGACCAAGTTTCTTGGGCTTTATAGGCCATTTAAGGACATTGGCTTTTATACCCTGAGAAAAAGGAAGCCACTGGAGGATTTTAAGCAGAGAAGCAAAATTATATGATTTATGTTTCAATATCCAGATATCCAGGTTCCAGAATTCAGAAAATGATGATGAATGTATAGAGGAAGCACACCCAAATTTCACGAACCCCTGGGTCAGAAATGACACATATCACTTCTGCTAACATTCTATTCATGAAAACTTAGTCATATGGTCACACCTAACTGCAAGAAATGTTGGGATATGTAGTCCAGCAAGACAGCTGTGCATTCACTTGTATTCCTTTGACTATGTAAGAAGAGTCAAATGAGTTTTGATGGACAGCTAGACACATCTGCCATAGAGGACAAGAGCAAAATATGTAGATGTTGCAGTCATTCAAATAAAAGATTGTGGCCTAGATTCCAAAATGGTGGTGGAGTGACTGGAAGCTACACAGATCATCTCCCAGGAACAAACTGGAATTACAAAGAAATTAAAGACAAATCATCAGGAAAAGGCAACAGAAAAGCAGTTTGAAGAACCACATAACCAGGGACACTGATGCAAACCTGGTAGGCTTGCAGAGATGCAAGAGGTGGGCTGGGAGCACATGGTCCACAGCAGCCTGAGCAGGGAGCAGCGGCCCTGGCTGTGAGGGGTGCCCTCAGGTTAAACTGCCAAGCAGCTCCACAGCACAGAGCTGGGACAGAGACTAAAATAGCCGAAGCCACTTACCTTGGGCTCCATCAGAAGGAGGCAGACTGGCCCTGGCCAGTTTGGCTCAGCGGTTAGAGCGTCGGCCTGCGGTCCGGAGAGACCCGGGTTCGGTTCCCACTAAGGGCACGTACTTCGGTTGCAGCTTGTCCCCGGCCCTGGTTGGTCGTGCGGGTGGCAGCCACTCGATGTGTCCCTTCACGTCGATGTTTCTCTCTCTCTCTCCCTTCCACTCTATCTGTACAAAAAATGGAAAAATATCCTCGGGTGAGGATAAAAAAAATAAAAATAAAAATAAAAAAAAAAAGAAGGAGGCAGACTGCACTGGAACTCTGTGGGGACACTTGGGATTTGGAGGGCGCTCAGAGCTTTTGCTGAGTTGCAGCCACACAGGACTGTGGTCATCTTACTCCTTCCCAGAGCTCTGGGGAGAAGTGGTGGCCCCTCCCTCAGAGATTCAACCGCACCTGGTGTCCATTGAACTGCAAATTGAGACCCATTAACAACCAGCATCTGTCCCACCCTCCGTAAATCCCCTTACACTGAGCACCTGAGGGAGTTTTTCATTCAACTGAGAAGCCAAGGTTCCTCAAGTAACTGCTACTGATAGCCTCCAGGCAGAAAGCTAGAGGATAAGTACCATTCCCTGGGCTAGCAACTTTAACCAGGAAAGTAAGACTTGACAGTGGTGTTTAGCATGGGTCCTCCCTTGCTCATCCAAACCCAGGAAAGGGACCCACAAACAGCAGAACACCACCACCTACAGGGAAAATTTGACAGGCTCCAAAGCCCACTGTGATAGCCAAAATGGTGAAACACAGAAACAAAAGCCAAATAAAACAACAAGAGACCTCTACAGAAGAGGAGATAAATGAGGTGCAGTTAAGCAAGTTAACAGAACTAGAATTCAGAGCCATGATCTTGAGGGAGCTCCACAGCATGTGTAAGGACATGAGCACCATGTTGAAAATCAACTTGTTGGAAATTAAAAACAACCAAGAAGAAATGAAGAATGACATAGAAAAAATAAAAAACACATTGGAAGGTCTAAATAGAGTACAGGAAGCAGAGGACCAGATTGGTGAATTAGAAGATAGGGTAGAAAAAACCAACCAATCAGAAAACCAAAGAAAAAAACAATTAAAATACAGGAAGACAGCTTAAGAGAACTGTGGGACAACAGGAAACATAATAACATTCGCATCTTAGGAGTCCCCGAAGAAAAAGAAAAAGAGCAAGGGTTAGAGAATATATTTGAAGAAATAGTAACAGAAAACTTCCCTAATTTGGTGAAATGAAGAAGGCATTCAAGTTCGAGAATCACAGAGAACCCAAATAAGAAGAACCCAAATAGGCCCACACCAAGACACATAGTAATCAAAATCCCAAAAATTAAAGACAAAGAGAGAATCCGAAAAGCAGCAAGAGATAAGCAACAGGTTACCTACAAAGGAAACCCCATAAGGCTCTCAGCTGACTTTTCACAAGAAACACAACAGGCCAGAAGTGAATGGCATGAAGTAATCAAGGTCATGAAAAAAAAGGATCTGAATCCAAGACTACTCTCCGCAGCAAGGGTGTCATTCAAAATGAAAGGTCAAATAAAAAGCTTCCCAGACAAACAAAGCTAAGGAGATATATTAGCACCAAACCAGCACCGCAAGAAATGTTAAAAGGCCTGCTGTAATTACCAGGAGAAATAGGAAGAAAAATAGAACCACACTAAACAAAAATGGCAATAAATCAGTACATATCAATAATTACCTTAAAAGTAAATGGATTGAATACTCCGATAAAAAGACACAGAGTAGCTATTGGATAAGAAAGCATGACTCATGTATATGTTGTTTACAAGAGACCCACCTCACAACAAAAGACTCACATAGGTTTAAAGTGAAGAGATGGAAAAAAATCTTCCAAGCAAACGGAAAGGAAAAAAAAAAAGCTGGGGTAGCAATACTCATACCTGATAAAATAATATATAACCTTGATAAACATATATGCACCCAACATAGGACCACTAAATTATATTAAAAATCTTCTGGAAGACCTCAAAGGAGAAATCAATAAAATACAATCATAGCAAGGAACTTCAACACCCCGCTGACATCACTGGATAGATCCTCTGGACAAAAAATTAGCAAGGAAACAGAGACTCTAAATTATGCACTAGACCAAAAGGATTTAATAGATATCTACAGAGAAATACACCCCAAAACTACAGAATTCACATTCTACTCTAGTGCACATGGTACATTCTAAAAGATAGACCACATGTTAGGACACAAACTAAGTCTCTACAAGTTCAAGAAGATGGAAGTCATATCAAGCATCTTCTCAGATCACAATGGCATAAAACCAGAAATCAATTGCAATAAGAACATGCAACAACATTTGAACACATGGAACCTAAATAGCATGTTAATAAACAAATAATGAGTCAATGAGGACATCAAGAAAGAAATTAAAAACTTCCTGGAATACAATGAAAATGAACACACAACAACTCAAAACCTGTGGGATATAGCAAAAGCAGTTCTGAGAGGGAACTTCATAGCACTACAGGCCTACCTCAAGAAGCAAGAAAAATCTCTAATAGACTACCTGAACTCACAACATAAAGAACTAGAAAGCAAACAAAAAGAAACCCCAGACCAGGTAGAAGGAAGAAAATAGTAAAGATCAGAACAGAAATAAATGACATAGAGATAAAAAAAAAAAAATTCAAAGGATCAATGAAACAAAGAGCTGGTTTTTTGCAAAGATAAACAAGATTGATGGAACCTTAGCCAGACTCACCAAGAAACAAAAAGAGAGAACCCAAATATAGAAAATCAGAAATGAAAGAGAAGAAGTAACAACTGATACCACAGAAATACAGAAGGTCATTAACAACTACTATGAACAATTACATGGCAAAAAATTCAAAAATTTAAGGGAAATTGACAAATTTCTAGAAACACATAGTCTCCCAAAACTGGACTGGGAAGAGATAGAAAACTCGAACAGACCAATAACAACAGAAGAAATTGAAGATGTAATCAAGACTCTCCCAGCAAACAAAAGCCAAGGCCTGGAGGGCTTCACGGGGAGTTTTACCAAACATTCAAATAAGAACTAATACCCATTGTCCTCAAACTATTTCAAAAAATTCTAGAAGAAGGAAAACCTCCAAACTTGTTTTATGAGGCCAGCATAATTCTAAATCCAAAACCATAAAGACATTACAAAGAAAGAAAATTGTAGGCCAATATCCCTGATGAATATAGACACCAAAATCCTGAACAAAATACTGGAAAAATCTAATCCAGCAACACATCAAAAAAATTATTCATTATGACCAAGTGGAATTATGCCAGGAATGCAAGGCTGGTACAATATTTGCAAATCAATAAATGTGAT